TAGAAATGTTCTAATAATAATAATAATAATAAATATGCAAATCAAAACCGAATACTCTTACATTCACAATGTAAAGAGGAAAACTACTAGCAGTGTCAAACACCACAGTGTGTGTGCCCTGTGACATCCAAGAGGCAGGTTGAACTTGCAAAATATCTACATACTGAATTAACAAAGAAATGAATTCGGAAAATATTGAACAAAATAAAAACTTTTCTCCAAAGAATTCAAGGGCCACAGTGCAAGATTCAACCACAAAGCTGGGCAAGTTGAAAGGATCTAAATTAAAATTGGCAAATGTGAATCTGAAAAACATGGTGGATATATGAAATATTATTATTTACATTCCCAAACAGAAACTTTTCACTGTATTGTGAGTTCAGTGATCACAGAGAAACACAGAGAAAAGCACAACAGCTGCCTTCCCCAGACAGCCAATCTATTAATCTGGATAGATGTGAATAGACCAGGAACATTGTTTCCTGGACATTATAATCTAATGCCTGTCAGTCCTCCTCTCATCCAATGTTACATCAGTTTTCCTGGGAATAACTTCTTATTATTCCAGTGGCACCAGCAGAGAGAATGTGACCAGGAAATAGTGATGCCAGCCAAGGAGTCTGCGGGTGAAACTGGGATGTGAACACACATTTCCCAGGCTCAAATTCAACCCTATTGCCCAGATTATGCACATTCTGAAGCAAAGCACAATGTGGTTGAACATACTGGAGTGGGAATGATGGCTCAAGTGACGTTCAGAGCTGCAACGCACATCCGTTGGTAATTGAGCTGCCACGCCTGACCGTGTCTTTAGGCCACAGGGAGAATAGAAACACTATTCAGTTTCACCAAACAAATGAGGTGAGATTTAGAGAGGACTTGGTGCATATTTGTAGTGGTTAAGAGGGCAGGACTGGGCTCAGGCGATCTGGGTTCTAGTCCCCACTCAACCATGGAGCCAACTTTGGGCCAGGCAAAAGACTGTCATCCCAACCTACCTCACAGGGTTATTGTTGTAGGGAGAAGACTGAGAGCAGCAGTAGGAGAATTATGTAAGCCATTTTCTGCTTTGAGTTTGTTGAGGAAAAAGTGGAATATAAATATAATAAATAAACAAATTACAGGAGACCAGTAACTGCAGAATTTCTAGCTACTTTATATTTAAAAAACAAGTTTTCTAGCTATAATGATAGTAAATTTTAAAACTATATGGGCAAATGTTTGCTAATTTTTCAAAGGTGCAAATAAGATTTTCAGGGGCCATGAAGTAGGGCTTCAAAGGTCTGCATAGTAAACCACTCACTCCCCATAGAGAATGGAGTAAATTATCTAACACAGTAAATCTTGCAGAATAATGAAAGACAACTAGGCAGATGTGCCTGGTTTGCATCACTTATACAGATTGGAAAATTTAGGGTTTTCCTGGCACAGCACGTAAGTAACCCTGGTGGATAGATAATGCAATGTATATACCAGTGCTATGCTGAAATAACGGCCAAAACCAGCATGATTTTATCTGTGTTTTCCCCAGTTCCCCCAGTTCAGTTGGCGATGAAAATGGTGGGCAGAGCTGCTGGGCAGAGTTGCACCAAGGCCAGAGCCACATTGCTGGTGCTGCTGCCAATTATTTTTTAAAAGTAAAAAGCATCAAGAAGCTGCTGTGGTAACCCTAAAGGATGCAGAATTCAATGTGCAACCCCACCTCCAAAAAATCTTGAATTCATTCTCCCTAGTCAGGTTCTAACTTTGTTCCCACCTATCTAACACACACAGGCCACTTGAATGATACAGTCAGGTGATGGCCATCCCACCGCCAGGGCATGTACCCTGGATCTGGAGCTGATGTGGATGGTGCACGGGGAGGAAGTGCCTACAGTGGAGAAAAGGCGATCTGCAAGTGGAGTCTTCCTGCTGGTAGAAACAAGGCTCTGGATCCAACCCTGGATGCCTCTAGAATGAAGGCTTGACTGACCGACCCAAACCAGTTCCTTCCAACTCTGTGACTTTGCAAGGAAGAATTAACATCAACAGCCCCAACTAGGCAGGTAAGTAATACACTGGGGCTGGTTGTTCATTATCACTAGCAATGAGCTCTCAGGCATAACCAATCCAATCTGCACCTCAATTTGCAGCTTGATCTCTCCATCTCCCCAGATTTGGGATGCGTAATTCATCAAAGCCACCTGGCAATAGGGCTGTCCAAAAGGCAAGATTGCCATGAACTCCATCTCCCAGATCTGCACACGCTGTCTCCTCTGATGTTTTTCAATTAAGGCCTCTTGTTTAGCCCGGAGAGGCAATAAATCACTACCAAGGCACTCTGTCTTCAGTCTTACTCCTCATTTTGCATATACAAGCTAATTCTTCCCAAAATACAGCCAGGCAGAAAAACTCCCTGCCAGTCCAAATGCTCAGCTTATCCCATCCAATCAGCTTCCTCCCCCGGCTGCAGAACCCAGGCTCAGACAACTATCTCTAAATTTACTGCTCTAGAATTTTTGAATAGGGGCAGTTCTGCAGGTCATTTCTGGCCAGTTTATAAAATAAACTGAACGAAGTAGTAAAGCCTTTTCATCACTGTAGCAGTTCAGGCTGGAGGGTCACATGCTGGAGGATACATGTGCCCTCCACAGAGAGAAAAAACACCATGGCAGAGAAAGAACTAAACACCTAGGTATTCCCTGCATGGCGATTGCCTACTCCACTGACTTCGTGCCTAGAGGCGCCCCCCCGCCCCCTGGTGGTGCAGCTGGGTGCACTAGTTCTGGCTACCACCACTAAGAGTGAAGCAAGCCCAGGCTCCTCAGTCCCCAAGGGCTTTTGGTCCTTGGCGAAGACTAAGGATCCCACCGAGGCCTTGGCAGCCCGCCTGTGTCCGTACAACTAGGTTGCAAATTGTGCTCAGCATGTGGCTTGGAGCCTGGATGTTGCCACTGAACAGCGACCCATAAAAATGCGTGCCTCTTGTGAGCCTCCTCCCTTTCAACCCCCAGGCATAGAGAGTTTCAGTGAAAACAGGGTAACAGATTTCTGAAGGATTCAG